ATCGAGCAAGATAAAGAATCAACCATATTTTTCAGCCTCCATTTCTCGGTTGTACATGATGACATGTGCTTGAATTCTTCGACCTGCCATTGAGGTCAAAAAGGAAAACACCAAACACAACAAGATATAATAACATCCGATCATTTTGTTAGTCATCCAAATAATCATCCCGTATGCATCATAATCTCCTCAACAATTCGCCCCAAGTACTCAGACAATGAACATCATTAAAAAAATAGTGCTAAAGGCCTAATACGTCCATAAACCACGTGTTGATCACACACAACCACCGAACAAGAGTTGAGGATAGTTTTGTACCTGAAGATCGAGAATACCACTCCAAATTGTCATACCTTTCCCAAAGAAGCTAATTTCTGCCTTTGAGATTGCCACCGGTGATCGACATCATCCATGCTCGTGCTTCATTATCACCCTTCTTGTATAGATCCATGCTCGTTCATTTTGTCCTCGACGCTTAACAACTCGTCCAACCTAGCTCGTCTAAACTCGAGTTATTTCGTTGTTTCCTTTCCGTCCACGTTTTATCATCCTGAATTGGTCTTGTGCTGGAACTAAGGCTGTTAGATCATTATGAGCCGGTTTGAACCGCTTATGGACCATCTGGACCGGTCTGGGTTGGTCTAGTAACCTGCTGGTCACTTTTCCACTTTGCTGGGCCGAGCTTGGATGTCTCTGGGCTGAAAGCAGCTCGCTGGGCCGAAGAAAACAAGAGTTTGGGCCATAAAGATGAGCCATAGGACGCGCTGGGCGTGGGCTGAAGACCGTGGGCCGCACGCGGGGCAAACACGGGCCAGTGCAGGTGGGCTATGCGGGTTGTGGGCGGGCGTAATGCGGGCTTGCGCGGGTCAACTGCAGTGAGGGTCGCGGGCCGTACGGGCTGGATGCAGCCCGCGCCCTTCTCCACGCTCCACAATGGGCCTCCGCGAATTGGGCCGCTCTCCACTCCTCTGGGCCGTGGTAGATATCGCTGGGCCTCTTGCACGGATTGCTGATGCTGGGCTCAAGATCGGGCCACCTTCTCGCTGGGCCCCACGCAGAAAAGCAGGTTCACGCGAGCTGCGAGCACCATGGCTGCAACCCGCCGGAAAGAAAGAGTCGCCGGCCGAGGCTCGCCTTCTCCGGCGAGAGTGACCATCCTTGTGCGCGACTCGACGAGGAAATTCTGAAGGTGTCATCGGTTTGAAGCAGTTCGCCGAGTATAGCCGAAAAATTGAAGAAGATGACGAAG